AATCAGTCGTAGTGATAAGATGTTTATTCGCAGTATTTAATATTAATCATCTTCAATGCTTTGCTTTTATTCTATTATTCGAGGATGGTTCAGTAGTACTTACGTCGTCTTCTTCCACTGGTCGCTATCGACTGATATATCTGAACTTACTCTCCATTTATGCATATTTCTTCTTTCATCTACTTAATACTTATAGTACTCATAAATAAATTACAACCCTTTGTTCTACATAAACAAATGTCAAGGGTCACTAAGACTTGTAGCGGTAATAATTATCTTATCCTAAAACCAACATGACATTACATACAATGATTTAAATTTTATAAAAATTGGTTAAGCAGTCTCGAAGTTTTTCTGGATCAACAATTTGTAAAGAATGATGTATATAGATTTAATATGTTAAGAATATTGTTCAACTCGGACGAATAGGAAACGTGCCACTGTAACACAGTCCATATATAAATGGCGCCATTAGTTCTGCCTACTACATTGTGCAACAGGCGTGATGATACTCGTCCAATTCATTGAAGCATATATCTTGAGGGGTCGCCACTCGACAGTAATTTTTGATTTCACGGCAAGTTGAACAATGGACGGATGGATGGCTGACAGAAATGATAATATCGAATGCGCTCGCACTGTGAACAGTTGCGAATAATTCGCTAGGTTCCGTCTTCTTATGATTGTACCACGTAACATAGATGTGGCATGTACTCAGTATCCCAAGGTATTGTTTACAAAAAGTTTGCGGATATTTTACTTTGATTGTTAAAGAAATTTTAAGTCTAGAAAGCAATAATAAGATTGAAAAAATAATGTCTCAAGAGAAAGTTCTATGACGGTAACAAAAAAATATTATATGATACAGCTTAACTTTAGATTGTTGATGGATGTGACCATATTTATTTATAATATGTTTGTTTAAAAGCTGAATATTTGTAATTAAGTGCTCAATATTTACATTTTATACCAAGGGAACCGGGGCTGACACTGCTAAACAAAAGTTATTGCTTAATCTATACTAGGACGACAGTTTACCTACCGTCTTTACTGTCTTCTATATTTATTTATTATATATATATATATATATAGAAGACAGTGTATTTTTATTTATTTATTTATTGTACAAGACAGTGTTACATTTATCCCTAAATAGGAAAAATCCTGTATTTTAGGATAAGCAGCCCTCATTCCCTACAACACTACCGTGACACAGAAAATGTAGTTTAAATTGTTAAACTGTACTAATTAATTTTACTTATTATACATATATACAATTTTTAATTATGAACACAAAGATAAATAAATTTCATGTTAATTAATTAAATGAAATTAAAAGATTATTAATAAAATAAAAAAATAAAAAATAATAAAAAGATAAAAATAAAATTAATAAAATAATATTTTATACCCAATTTTCTACACTGCATAATATGCATAGTAATATTTGCAGGTCTTTTAAAGGATTTTTTTGTTTGAGAAGATTAATGACATTAGGAAAATATATTTCCATCATTATCGTTATTCAGGTCAGTGTACATTTAATACCTTAATAATAAGGGAATGCAGATAATTTGTTAGCATCCTGTATACCATTTGTAGAAAAAATGTAATTCAATATAAGTACAGCTGCTGTTGGCAATGACTACCAATTGTAAGCAACAGACTCACTGAAACCGCTAAGTCTCATTCACTATGTACGGAACTAAAACAAAAGTGTACGCAAACGTCGAACACCTGGTTGCTCCCGGGTTAAAACAAAGCCACCGCTGAACACAATAGCAGTGGTCGGTGTTGATAACTTGTCACGCACAAGTTACAAGCGATAGCGGATTATACTTCTAATTCATTAACAACTGCGTTGTATTCGTAATATTAACATGTTATTAAAATTAACAAGCCATAATTTATCTACTAGTTAATGATATATGTAGTAATATAAATTTAAGCGATTGATAAGATACTGCTTGACCTCTTCATTGTATAAAGTTGCGTGGAATATAGAGATCTTTATCAATTGGATACTTAAATTTGTAGATTAAATAACTGTTATGTTAATAACCATTAATGAAATATGTAATATTGTCATGGGAGCAAGTTGCCGTCTCGCATTCTCTTTTTTGAGGAAATCTATACATATAAATATAATTGGAGTATCTGTTTATAATATGAATAATAAACGTTTTGTTTACCACATACATATGAATATAAATACGGTATATACACCAAAATTACATTTTTTACTATTCTTGTCTGTCTGTCTGTTTGTCCGGCTAATCTCTGAAATGGCTGGACCTATTTTGACGGAATTTTTTTTGGCAGGTAGCTGATGTAATAAGGAATAACTTTGGCTACTTTTATTTTAGTAAAATTCTTTTATTTTAATAAAATAAAGTTAAATTCCACGTGGACGAAGTCGCAGGAACAGCTAGTTTATTATTATAGCCGCAGAAAGCGGTGTTAGGTCGCAAAATAAAGTGCATTTCTTAATGTATTGTTAATTACGTCCCTTTGTTATGATTTATGAATCGTAAAATCAACCATCGAATAACGAGACCTACTTGAAAGAGCAGAAAAAAGGGGACCGATCGTAGTTTCAGCCTTCACAATACCAATTGCGTTACCTAATCTAACTGCAGTGCTCCAGCTGCGAGTCTGAACTAGACAAAGACCATTTGGAGAAGGAGACCAGTATTATGTAATAGGCGATAAACATAGACATAGATTTCAGTATATATGTCTATCCACTTTTTATAAAGTGCTAACAAGTCCTTTATATTCCCTGCTACAGGTTAGTTATAAATATTACCATAATAATGTAATTTCTGGGTTACCGTAATACTAGCGACACGTCCTGGCTTCATACGGATGCATTCTTCTTTGCAAATCTTTGAATTTCTCGGCTTAGTCTTTACTATAATATATGTCTTATACATATAAACCTTCCTTTTGAATCTCTCTATCTTTTGTTTAAAACTGCATTAAAATGTAGCTGCGTAGTTTAAGAGATCAGACAGCAGAAGCGACTTGAATCAAATTACTTCGTATTTAACTATGTAATAAAAGAGGCATCTTGGTAGCATTAAAATATTTAAAAATATTTTAATGCTATTATACATTTACATATACATTTACACCAAAGTGTATTCACCCCTTGTAAATATGGCTTTATTTGTGTAAACTTTGATCCCTTATAGTAATCGTCGTTGTGGCCCAGTAGTTTATTACCCGACAACCAACCTTAAAGATCGTGAGTTCATGTTATGCACGGTAAAAACATGGTACGTTATTTATATTTCTACTGAAATTCTAACTACATCTCTAGTGGTGTAAATGCCGATAATAAACTAAACTGTAAGACTGGGAGCTTCATCCACTCACATCTTGAATTATATTATAACTAACAATCGAGAAGAAAAAGAAATTAGATTTAACTTATCATAAGTGTCCATTGTAGACCTACACGAATAACGCTATTTGGACTACATTTGTACAGTTACTTCCCCATTATCTGGAACTAGGTCTGCGCCTGTGACGAAATCAATAGGAAGTTATCACGCAATAAAACTATTGTTCCTGACTGCACTAATGGTGTTTTTATGAGCTGTATTGTCCGATGTCCGGTTTATCGTTCCTCTGTCATAATAATTTTTGATGGCGCTTTTATTATATTTTTTATTTCCTTCTGTGCATTGGTCAGGATTTTTCATTACGGCATATTCACGGAAAAGTGGGTTTTATAGTAGATACCAACGTAAATTATATATGTCACCGTAAGATTGAAATCTGATTTTGTTTATACAACCTATGTGGCAAAATTGACAATAAATTGTGAAGTTTTATTCTATCGGTTATGGAAACAGTGGTTATAAAATAGCGTCAAGAGAATAATAATACCTACACTTGTAATATTTCTGTCAACACTCGAGACCCTTTCATTAGTACTTCTCCAGATGACATAGATTTAAGTTAAATGTAAAGTGAGTCCACGTTACGATTCCGCGTCGAATGTATGCGTTACTAATAAGCCATGTATCACACTATCTAATAAACTTACTAATGTACAATAAATAGTACAATTATTTCACCGGTACACTACCTGTCTCATTACAAGAAATTTTCTGACTTCCATAATATGACATTTTCACATAGCTCCCCACATTTGGCTAAGAGCCGTTCTTTTAAACAAGATAAAGAAATAGAATAGAACAGAAACATAATAATAATAACTAATTTATATCGGACAACATGATCCATTTGATAAGCGTGAGGTAAATTAGCCAGAGGGACCCGCGTGTATGTTAACCTGAAATGGTACATTGCTGGCAATGAAATTATTACAACATAGTATTAACAATCCCCCTTAACCCTTCATCAACAGATTAGGTACAAGCCAGATAGATATTGTATTTATTTTTTGTATTTCTATCTTAACATCTGTTATTGAATTGCGCCTTATTATATCTGTTTAAATAGAGATTGCCATCAGGCATTAAGTCCGCCTTATATGCAATTCTGTGTACACAACAATAAATAAATAAAAATAGGTCATAAACTAACGGATTTCTCAGTATTAAGTATTGAAGGGCTGACCATTGATTGATTGATAAAATGAACCGCAATATCATTGCGTTTTTTTTTTTTTTTATTAAATTTATTTGTCTCTCTACTGTTTTTATTATCCCATTTTTTTTTTTGTATTATAAATATATTATGTAGTACTTCAGCCGCGATTTGATACGGCCAAAGTTTTAATTGTATAATGTGTTCCTCTGGAGGGGATGTTAAATTATCGAAATAAATACATATATAATATAGTTATATACATACATAAATGAATAAATATATATTTCTTTTTAATTCAAATATAGTAATGTTGTGATTTTGCAAATTATTATGTTTTGTTGATCTTTTTGAGGTTATTTACAATATGTTTAGCAAATAAATTATACGAGTATATCATTGCGTTTGAAATGTTTAAAATTTTATTTCTGTTTCAGGTGGCGGCTGCACCTTCCCAGAGGGTTGGACCGGTAGCTGGTTCCTGTCGGGCAATCCCGGCCTTATCGCCATCAACTCGACCCACATACAGTCGAAGGGTGAATGCTCAGAGACAGAGTCGTACGACAAGTTTCTGCTCTACGACAGGTTCGTAACCAGCTCTATTACAATATTACAAGATACCTATTCACGGGTTTCCGCGGAGTCACTACGCAATATCCCACAATAATAGATGATAAGGGTAGCCTTGTCTCAAATTCCCTTGGGTTTTTACAAAAACTCCTTCGTTCGTAGTGATTACATGTCCTAAATCCATTCGTTATTATAGAGTACCTACACTTGTAATATTTCTGTCAACACTCGAGAGTCTTCTATTAGTACCTCTCCAGTAAATATAGATTTAAGTTAAATGTAAAGTTAGTCCATGTTACGACTCCGCGTCGAATATACTTGTTACTAATAAACCATGTAACACTATATAATAAACTTACTAATGTACAATTATTTCACTAGTATGTATACTCACTACCTAACTACCTCATCACATCATACATGAAGCTACAGTGGTGACGTGATAACCATCGCGGTACAATAGCTTCGCAGCGTTAATAGCTTGAGCCATAAGTTTTTTTATGTAATTGGAATGACAAATAAACAAATAGGTAATTTAATTAATTTTATAAGCATTCCTGAGAAAGCAATGGGATTTTTTAATATATCATCCGTATTAATTTCAGGAGCGACGACTGTTACAGGTGTATGGTGATAAATGAAAAACATAAATATGTGCTACAATATAAAGAAAGTAAGTGTATTGCATTAAGTGTTATGTTTTTTTTATTGGTAGATTCAAATAAGCACGTTTTTTATGTGCGATTGTATGTGAAGAAAGCTTTTTATATGGAAACAAAAATAGACCACCTTATATATATATATACAGTACCACAGATATACATAGTCTCGTGATTCCAGTGGTATCGAGTATCTAGCGGTATTAGCGCATGCGTTGCGATTCCTGAAGACATACCTCCGTATCCTGGTATTTTATTGACAAATCGTTAAAACCTAAATAGAAATTAAAAGCAAGCTACTTGACCGCAGATATAGGTGAGAGTGTGGCCACGCAGATGACTTGGTACAGAGTGTACGGACACGACGTCCGTCAAAGACAAGGTCTTAGTTACTGAATTATGAGATCTGCTCTCATCAATTATGACTTATAATTATTATAATTCTGTTAACAATATACATAATACCTTTATGACGTCAACATATATGAATATTTTTTTTTAAACAGTATGTTCTCTTCTCCTTAGCGAGAAGAGTATAGGAAATACAGCGTAAAAGAAGAAATGGATACTCGAAACGAAAAAAATATACTGCCAGCTCAAAATAATGACAAATATTCTCTTGCGTTTTACAGCATACTGTTCACCGAAGGATTCGCTGTCTTCTATATGCGAGTTGATCACAGGAGACGCTCCTCTCTACTCCATGTTCCGTAAGGAGCCCCGGCCGGTCCCTCAGCAGTGTCCCTTCCATCCGGCGCCATTTACTTTCACATACAACCGGTAAGTGCATTCCATTGTGTACTCTACGTTGTTGTGTTTGTGGTTTAACAAAAAATGCATTTAATCATTTAGAACATTAATGAGGCAGTAATGAAACAAAAAGTATATAAGTTTTTCTGTATGTATGCATGTAAAGTTATATAAATAATAATAATAATATCCCTGGATAATTTACTCTACGCCATTTATTCCCAAGGTAAGCAGAGCTTGTGTTAGGCTATTAAACAACTGATGTAAATACTTAGACTTATATACATAAAAAACACCCAGACCGATACAAACAATCATACTCATTAATACAAATGTATGTACTATGCGGGGAATCGAACTAAAGCGCTGTGCTAAACCATTACACCATCGAGGCTATAAATAAAATAAGTCTAGAGTAGAACAAAAATCAATGTGTGATACAAATCTGATGATGGATGATGTACATTGCAGAGGTTCAGGTGACTGCACCAACCCGCCATCCCGCGCGGAGTCCTGCACGGACGACTCTCGACTGCTACTCCGGTACATGGCCTGCCCGGACGTGCCCGGCACCGAGAGCAATGGTACGTATAATATAAACCATGCCAGTTGAGTTTCTTTTCAGTTCTCGTCAACTGATGTAGCTAATATCTGAACTAAAATGAATGGATGGTAGAGACAGTGTTAAAAAATATGGGAATAAACTTAAACAAAACTTGAATAAGGAATTCCCATACATTATAAAGAACACGACTATTATCTCCCGATTAACTTTTGTTTATGGTAGTCTTAGGGTATTGCTCCTTTGGGGGCGAAATAATAAACAAATGCGCAGAACATTTTATGTTGATCCGGTTCACATATGATTATTATTTCTATTGTTCAAGTATATGATTATAGGCCGTGATACAATATTAATAATCTAGAACAATTCTCACAACACCATTTAGTTCCAAACTGAGTATAACTTGCACTATGTATACTAAACATCTGAATTAAATATTATATTTATATATATATATTGTATATGTAATGTATAAAGAAAACACCCAAAGCAATACAAACAATCATTCTCATGATTATAAATGTTTTTGTCGCGCTAAGAATTGAACCCGCGACTATAGGAAGTGCTGTATCACAACTGCTCGAGCTATATAACCGAGGCCGTTTAATATTCTAATTGTTTTAATGTAATTAACGTTACTCTTAATGTATTACAGTCGAGGAGCTGGTGTGCCTGGCCACATGGAAGGAGGGATCCATCAGGTACCTGGTGGGGCAGATCTCCCAGGTGCAGCGTAGAAATTCTATCGTCTCAGACGAAGATACCTACAGGTATTGTGATCTATTTTATATATATTATAAACAAAGTACACATATAAATAAGATAATGATAATACAAATGGCTTCGCTGTGAAAAAGAGAGAATAATAATCTCTGGACAATTCACACAGCGTCATCTAGATCCAAGTTAAGCTAGCTAAAGCTTGTTATGAGTACTATATAACTGATACAAACAATCATACTCATTATTACAAATGTTTGTGCCGTGCGAAGAATCTGCGACCATCGGAAGTAAGGCGGTATGCTATAAACCGCTATACCACCGAGGCCTAAATGATGATAATAATTATTAGAGTTGTATGAGAGACAATTTTAACATCTTTTTTAAGTAAATTTCGAAGGAGAGTTTGAAATCCGCGGAGAACTGTGTGGAGGTCGACCGACATGGTATATTGGTAACAATAGGGTCACTACAGAAATGCTTAACTTTTAATTTTGTACATTGCAGATGTTTCGTTTACCAAGGGCAGCACAGCGACAAGGGTATGACGTACTACGTCGCCCAGTCGGGGGACGCCACTTGCAACGGACTGTCCTCAGCTACAGACGGCAGTCGCACCATGAAGCTCACCAACAGTACGTAACCCATTTTTTTTATGTATGATAATGGAATGGCACCTGTGTGTGTGACGGTTTACGCGGGGGAGGCACCAGTGGAGAGTGATAAGATGACATTAGGTCAGGCGCAGATCCGGCCGCATATGGAATACTGTTCTCATCTCTGGGCGGGAGCACCACAATACCAGCTACTTCCATTTGACCGCATTCAGAACCGAGCAGCCAGAATCATTGGTAATCAACGTCTATGTGACAGACTCGACCCATTGGCTTTGCGGCGAGATATTGCATCTCTGTGCATTTTCTACCGCATATATCACGGGGAGTGTTCTGAGGAATTGTTCGGATTAATACCAGCTGCTGAGTTTCGACACCGTACCACCCGCCAGAAACTGAAATACCATCCTGATCATCTGGATGAATGACGGTCTTCCACAGTACGGTTTTCTAGAAACTTTTTGCCCCGCACAACTACATTGTGGAATCACCTTCCAGCAATGGTATTTCCGAACCGATACGATATTGAAACCTTCAAGAAAAGAGCTTATTCCTTTTTAAAAGGCCGACAACGTACTTGCAATTCCCCTGGTGTTGCGGGTGCTCATGGGCGGCGGTAATCACTTACCATCAGGTGAGCCGCATGCTCGTTTGTCCCCTGTGTTATAAAAAAAAAGGTCAGTTAGCAATTTCACCAGGAATTTATCACGATGGTTTCCAGGGGGAACCCCGTGAAGGTCAACCTGACATAGTACATTGCTGCCTTGCCTGACATAGCAATGGGTTTATCAGTCCACAGTACTAGCTGTCCCCCTCCCCCCAGTACGTTGCCGATTATTTCTATTACACCCCGGACTCAGTCCTTCCGCGCCTATGGAGTGATTTCTGCACTGATCTCATTTTTGTCCGGTGAAGTTGTAAAAGCCAACTACGGCCAACAGCATTAGTTATTTTTATATATTAGGTACTAGCTGACGCTGCGAATTCTATTCCGCTTCAGAATTAAATAATAAGTCACTTGAAATAAAACCTCACAGTAACATAGCTATATTACAATAACACAGGCTATAAATTTCATGCGAGTGAAACCGCGGTCGCAACTAGTTTCTAATACTTGTGTTTATTTTTAATTTGTACTCGTTTCTCAGGCGATGACGAACACAACCGCTGCCATTTCCCGAGTTGGATTGTGGACCACCACAAGTGGTACAGTTTGGATCGTACCCACCAGTACCGTTTTACCACCAAGAACGCCACGCTCAAGGTATAGCAACTACTATTATATCTAGTAACTGTATTTAAAATTATAATAATAATTTTTATTTGTTTCAAAAAATAAACTGTTACAAATGTTGCTTATTGAACAAGGCACAGTTATACAAGCAAATTAAACACAACGGGGTGTTGTCAACATTTAAAGAGCACGATGGAAGATCTTGGAATGTGGCAAGAGCTCCACCGTCAAGAGTGTGGATCTTAATTTTTATTTTTAATGAAATCGCGCGGAGCAGCGATTTTTACATAATCTAAGTTTATAAAAAATATATATACGTATAAAAGAGGAGAACTTATTATTTATATAGTTAAACAGTTTTCTGATTTGCCCTAGAATTATTCTCATTAAGGCTATATTAAGAATGTGAATGTTTAAAAATAAGTGTGATGAGAATTTGTCTATAATAATATTTATTAATGTGGTTTCCAGATAATGAACGCAGATGGATCCATCGACGAGAAACGGCTGGTGTGCCACTCGATCCTCGAACACAAGGACAAGAAACATATCACCCTCATCGCTCACGTCACCATGGGATGGTACGTGACGTAAAGTATAATAATAGTATCTCAGCACAATTCATACAGCGCCATTTAGACCCAAGTTAAGCTAGCTAAAGCTTGTATTATGGGTACCAGATAACTGTTACAAATACATTTTTTTTTTTTTCTTAAATACATACATATTATACCTAGAAAACACCCAGACCGCTACAAATAATCATACTCATGAATATAAATGTTTATGTCGTGCGAGGAACCAAACCCTGGACCATCGAAAGTAAAGTAGTGTGCTAAACTAGACCACCGGGCCGTCAGATACATTGCAATATTGTATTTATATCTTTACAACATTACTAGGACTAAATAATCTATTATATTATTAATTATATTAAGTTTATTTGAATAAAACTTATATCTATCTATTTCACTATGAAATAATTTTATTTGTTTGCCCGTTACAGTGAGTCGGGGCACGCGTGTCTGAAGTTCTACCGTCGCGAAGGCAACGTGCTGGAGCTGCAGGCCGGCTCCGAGCTCACGGAGGTGGCTCAGGACGCGTGCGCCGCCACCCACCAGTTGCCGTACATCACACTCATCAGTGAGTATACCACTAAGGTGTGCCGTACATTAATTACGGCAAAGGATTTTCTTGATTTTTGACCACTTTCCCCTCGTCTTAGTTTGTCATATTTGTGAGACTCATCCTCCCCCTTATATGACATCAAACAAATTTCTTAATTTTTGACCCCCGTAACCTCGTCCTTGTCATAATATTCACAATTGTGAATACCCTCTTTGGAACTGATTACCCGTTAATAATAATAAATGATGGTTCAAATTTGGTATTTTAATAGATATATTAGATTCTGATATGTTACATCACGAAATTTAGGACCCCCTTCCAGTTTTCTTATATACTATACATGTTTGTATAGAGAACCAGTTATTAATGAAGTATTGCCAGATATAAACTGCCAGAGTATGTACTCAATTTGCCAGAAAAAAGATTTATACGTCTTATAAAATATTTTCTTTGTAAAAAAGCTTAGTATAAAATTGAAGAATTTATAAATGATAATAATGTTTTTCTAGAAAATATCTAACTTAAAATTCATAGCAATGTTATCTGATTGAACAGAGATTCAGTACGTAGCGGTTTCTATGTTGATTGTCGCATGCCTAATCCATGTTAATGTAAATCTAATTAAAATAATATTTATTTAAAAGAGCAACACACAAGTTTCTTGCTCATTCTTCTTGTGATGAGTCTGCATTCCGAATGAGCTTTAGAATAAAAAAATGTGACTATTCAAAAATGCTTATATTCGGTTTATTTGAGTAAAGATTATTTCTATTTCTAAATTATGAATATTATTACTGTGTAAACTAAGTTGCTAGCAGATATTAATGTTTATTATGTCTTTCTATCCATAGCAACGTCGCTGGTACCGATGCGGTGTCCGATCTTCGGTCGATACTCTGTGCTCGGCTCGCTGGCCGACCGTCGCCGGCGTCGCCAGCAAATCGCCATAGGTCCGTCTGTTGTGATGATTTCATTTTGTTTTTTATAGTTGTCTTGCGTCAATTTAAATTTATATTTTAATTTAAATGGCCGCATGCACGCATTTAGATTTACTCAATTTCATTTAAAACGTATAACTGATTTTAAATTAGCCTTTTTACATACATGGGTCCTACATATATATAATTCATCTACTGACTTTACTGTTTATTTTACTCATAAACCTCCTCTCTCTTCTCGACTCAATAATAAGCTGTGTTTAGTTTCTTGCCGTTTTTAATTGGTTTGTTATAAACTTACAAATAATGAAGTAATAATACATACGTTTAGTTTCTTGGTTCAGAATCGGCATTCAGAATGCGGCGATAGAATAATTAATATTCATAATAAAATAATTAATATTGCAGGCGACTCGTCGGCCGAGGGCTCGGGTGCAGGCGCGAGTGGTGGTGGCGGTGAGGAAGAGAAGCGAGAGTGCTCCCCGGGAGAGTACGACAGCGCCAGCGTCGGCTGCAGCACCTCGCAGGACACCATCGAGTTTAAGTCGCCCTGCGGACTCTCCACCGGTACATAATATATAATACTGAACCTCCTCAGATTATTTATATTTAATCAACAGCCTAAAAATAAGTTTTAGGCTTCTAGGTTTATTATATACAATCTTTCATACTCCCCTTTCAACCCCTTTCAACCTCTTCAAAATCTTATTGTTGTTTTGTTTTGTTTTAACCAAGGAACAGGAAGTTTGTTTTTAAATCTAGTATTAATTTTATGAATTTTACTGTTGTTTGGAAATAAGTGAAAATTTTTGTGTACATATATAATACTTTACTATAATCTTAATAATATTTCTTCTATAAATGCAAAAGTTTGTGAGTATGGATGAATGTCTGTTACTCTTCCACGCAAAAACTACAGAATGGATTTTTATGGAAATTTACAGTAATATAGCTTATACATCACATAACATATAGGCTTAAAATTTCAAGCGGGTGAAACCACGGGCACGGCTAGTAATACATATAAACAGAGTAACTTAAACATTTATAATATTAGTAAGGATGTAACTGATGTTGTGAGGTGTGTTTGTGTCGCAGTGTACACGTGCTACGGCAGTTGGTCGGAGGGCGAGGTGGGGTTCCTGATCGCGGCGCCCATCGCGCGCTCCTCCTCGCACCCGAGGACCTTCTGCTTCATGTACTCCTCCGCGCCACCCGCACTCAACGGTAACTTGATTTGTGTCATTCTCCTCATTTATGTCTCGCCTATTTCTCTTCCCAAGCAGCTTGCTGTATGAAGCATGACATGAAGCAGTGAAATTATGATACAATAATGTTAGCAATACCTCTAACTCTGGTTCTTTCTAATCTGGTCAAAGTCTTAAATAGTAAGTGAAGGAAATGGTATTGGTAGTATATGAAGACCGTTGACGCTATTGCTTGCAATGTACCATATCGGGTTGACCTCCACGCGATCCCCTCTGGAAACCATCGTGATAAATACCTAGTGAATATATGATAATGGGCTAACTGGCCTGACCTCATGCTCCTCTTATCATCCACCACTGGTGCCCCGCCAGCGTAAACCGTTAGTGCAGGCCCGTCTGTATCATTCATAAAAAAAAGTAAGTGAGTAGGTAGAGGCAACTGTCGCTGTCGAGGTGGACGCTATGCTTACATGACCACAATTTACTACGTATATTTTAATCGGTTGGTATATCCACCATTGGAGAATTAGCCCTAAATTTAAATTGAGACACAAATTTGCCGTCATTTCACACATTTGACATTATTCGGGGTAGTAAGCAACTCCAGTGTTTACTTCCCCAAATTTCATCTGCTCTTTGTTTTTATCATCTCTCCTATATTGACTAGTTTGTGCTGATGATGATGATGTGATTGGTGATGGTTGCAGAGTCTGTGGCGGGCGGCGGCGGCGGGCTGCTGTCGCTGTCGGCGGTGGCGCGGTCGTGCGACCGGCGCGTGGTGCCCGGACGACACGGCGACAAGGCCTACAACCTCACCATCAACGGTAACTATACCACGCAATAATAAATAAATAACCCTGAACAATTTACACAGCGCCATCTAGTCCCAAGATAGGCAGAGCTTGTGTTATGGGTACTAGACAACTGATATAAAATACTTGAATGTTTTTTTAGAATATATACTTTTATTTTTACAATATATACTATATATACTTTATTATATTTACAATAGATACAAACATACTCATTAACAGAAATGTTTCCACCGTGCGACGAATCGAAGTCACGATCATCAGAAGTAAAGCGGTATTATCGTCGAATTTCGACTACTAGTCAATATAAAGATTAGTAACGAATGGTTATTGTAACATATATTTGACTGAAAATATTACATAATTGCACAAAGAATGAGTGCATAGTGGTTTCTATGTTGATTGTCGCATACCTATTCCTTGCTAATGTGTTTTTACTCAAAACATTAATTGAAAGGGTTACACGGAAATTTTTGGATCATTCTTCTTGTGATAAGTCTTTGTTCTAAATGAGTGATAGAATGGAAATATATATGAATATTAAAAAATGCTTATATTAAGTTTATTTGAATAAAGATTATCTCTATTTATAATAATTATTATTATTTATTCAGCATAATATAACACAGTAAAAATATAGTAAAATTTAAAAGCTAATATCGCGCTATGAGCTGAAAGGAGTGGAGCCACTCATTTTGATTATAAATGGGGGGTACATTAGTCTCACCTATTCCAGCCACCAAACAACTTGCTTTATAACTTGTATTATAGTGGCAATGTGCATATTAGACAGTGAAATTATAGAAACAATCTAACAATCATGAATACAAATATTTATTCCGAAATAAGGCAGTATGCTAATTTATTGAACAAGGCCTGAGGCCATTTGTTAAAATAATTATTCAATTATTTAAAGTGTAAAATATTTAAGTTCTTACTTTGAATAAAGTAGAAATAGTACAACAAATATATGCAATAAACTAAATATATTTTTCCTTTCCAGGTACATGTGAGCAGAGCAGCAAATACAACAGCTTGTCGCAGCGGCTGGCGCCGGCTGCCGCACTAGTTGTCGCGCTCGTCGTCGCCTGCGTCAGATGATACCGCTGCTAATGTTACTGCCGGGTTTGGACGAGGTTTCGCCGCGCGGCCGGAAACCACAGTCATTGAATGACGATTGACAATAACAATTGTTGATTGAAATTGTCAATTGTTAGTGATTTTAGTTGATTTGTACGCAGGTTAGTTTTGTTATTGTTGTGTGTAATAGGCGAACGAAATTGGTTATGATTATCAATCGTAATCGTAGACAGCAAGAATTATACACATATTAAATGTAAATTAAATGTAAATGTGTATCATGAATAAATATATTATTATTATTATTAACCCACTTATGTATAATCTGTTTTTACTGTTGAAGTGTTTTGTCACTGATTCAAAACAGCAATTTAGTTCAATAACGAAATAGATTTATTAGACTTTTTTTTAATGAATAAGGATATGGATGTCTGTCGTATAGTTCAGCTAGTTTTGAATTTACGTTGCACATCCAATTCTTTAGTTATTCTTGTGTTGTGTGTTTAAAATGTTTAAGTTTTAAAAATATCTATGTAATCCTCTACTGTTAAAGCCGAATAAACACGGGTTAGTCATAAATAATTAACCAATCAAACCAAATTTCCCAATGACATGATGAATGACACTCAACAACTTTTCCAAAAAAGGTTAAGTGAGAAATTGTAATTGATTTTTAAAGTTTTCATATAAAATGCTGTGATAAATTTAGTATGAAGGCTATAAATTTTATTATCAGATTTCTACTTTGTTTCTTGATGGAAATAGTCAAATTTTATGAGTATTCTCCCTGGCTTTCAGTTTGGATTTTTATCACTAACCCTGTATCAAAGTGTGTATGAAATTGATAAACATACTGATTTAGATTGATAGTCATATTCAAGATTGAAATTATTCAATCAGTCGAAATGTCTTCATCTTCCTAGTATATATGTATGATAGTTAAATTGTTTTTGAAATAGCTTTTTTATGTACCTATTCAATACCATTATTGAGGTATGTATGTTTATAGTTTTTTTCTTTGAGCTACAAGCATAGATATCAACTGCGTACAGTTTTATTTTAATATTTAAAAATATCGTCCAAACCCATTTTATACCTATGGCATATTCGATTAAAATTGGTGTTGCTTTTATTGTGATAATAATTATGGTTGGGAAAATCTGTTGCTTTTACCAGTGTCTCACCAAAAATGTTTTAGTATTTCTGTTTTGACAGCTTTACTTTTAGAAACAATTTGATAATGCTGCCATTTATAGTTTTTTTTATTCTAATTTTTCTGTTTTGTTTTATTTATTATACATTACTACCACAGACATATAAATCTCGAAATAAGTACTTCAATGATTCTATTCCAAGTTCGTAATCTCGCAATATTTTTTTGTAAATGATTTACGTGTGACAATAGACAATCACAATGACTATATAAAATCTATTATGTTTGCATACATATGCCATGATAATTTTATACTTTTAAATAGACCTCATTTAATTAAAAATAATATAATTTAGTAATGAGTAGTATTTGTGGTTTTATAAAAAACATTGTTTAAAAATGTATCGTTACATACATTCGTATATACGGATATATTTTGAAACAAACAAACGTGGTAGTAGTGTAATGTTATAACATTTATTTTGTAAAAATATACTTGTAAAGCTGGCGCATTATTGTCCATATTACTGTAATTAATTTTTAGGTTAGGTGGAAACTAAACAATGTTTAAAGAAACGAAGAAACACGTGATCAATTTGTAAATAAAAGATGGTATAACGTTGGTAAAGTTGAAAAGAAAAATGCGTTTTTAATAACGTTACTTATGTAATTTTAAAGTTTTTATTTTATTTTTAATACATACCTAGACGTATCCACGTGTCGCCGCCATAGTGGGAGGCGGGCGGCGGCCGAATGTACAATATATTATATTATTTATATAGAAAACGCTTTGGGGGTATACATTTGTATTGTATACTAATACTAAACAGATATTAAGACTAAATTATAATTAGATAGATATAAATGTAGAAAAATTATGCTCAGCATTTTAATTTTTTGTTTTTGTTACAAACACGTCCAATGAGTTTTTAGTAAATAAGTTTTATTTGCGATTTATGAATATATTCGTTACTATTAGAATCAAAACGGACACTGAATTGATGTTATTAATGTTCATCCTCTTTGTGTATGAATAAAAGTGTATGGTGTAGATAGAGAATAGAGTACCGACAGTCCAGTTACAAACCGTTGACAGTTGATTATTATTCTGTTATAGTATTGCCCTGAGACGTATCTAATACTCTCTGGTAGTATTAAGTCCATTTCAATTGCGGTCCAATGGCTGTATGTAGAACAGCATTCTCTTCTGAACTAGGTAGGTGTCTGAGACATGTAATCAGGTGATGTTTACATGAAAACTGCTATGTGGCTTGCCTAATTCTATGCACTGCTGGTTTAGAGTTGCTTGTAAAAATCACCGACCAGTGATGCTGAAAAGTTCGTGTCCGTTTTTATTATTATTTTTTTTATTAAATACAAGCTTCATTTATAACTTGCGTTCTTAATTTAAAATCAATGCTATCACAATCTTGACCAACAGTAGTTTTATAAAAATATAATTGCTCATATATGAAAATAGTTTGGAATTTTATTTGTGATATAAAATTAATTTAAGGTTAAATAAAATAATAAATAAATATGTAAATATTCATTAGAATCAAGTTCCTGACTCACTATTTCTTTTCCGGGATCTTTTGTGATAAACTGCAGTTATTTTATAGTTTTTAAGTCTTGTGAATTGAATACGTCGATGCTTGCCAATGATACTGTTTTTAATGCTGATCAAGTGCAATCAAGCGCACGTGAGACTGGGTGACAACGAAACCAAATTTACTAATAATAAACAGAACGTCCGCAAAATACATAATAGATAAGCATATAACTAAAATGTAATTCGTGTTACATCATATCTTGATAGGATTATTAAAAAACTAAAACTAAAGTATTAAAGTTTAAATACGCATTTAAAAAACAATTTCGGTAACTTATCGCGTAATATTTAGTTTGAAAAATAAGTCGCAGTACCAGACTAACAGAAAACATGAGGTCTTGTTTATGGTTGAAACATAAACTAATAAATAAATACTTTTAAAATTTCTATGTACCTAGTTTTCTCCTGCGAGTTAAGTTACATATTGAATAGAGAGAAATTAAAATAAAAATTATGTTCATGGTCACGGGTGTACCGTGCGCCATCTATTCATTAATCTACAAAATTTCACATTATGTGATTAATTTATTAGAGCAATTTTTTCTAATTTTAATCTAAAATCAAGGGGTAAAACACTAAAAAAGGCAATTGTAAACATTTTCACAATAGTGTGTCATTAGAGTTCTATATCACTATACACATCTTATATGATGTAACATTGCAACTATTACATTGTTTACATAACTAAAACGCATACTTAAATATAAATACAGCAACATCATGCAGTCTTACGTCGATTTGATTTATATAAAGGAAAGTTATAAATTATGTAGCCCAAAAAGACTATTGTAAATAAAACTAGCTGGATAAATTATATACAATCATATTTTATAAGTGTAAACGCGTTTTTTAAATACAGGACAGAAAGTATTAATTTATATAAAAAATACCCGACGATAATAAATAGCTATAGATATCATTGAATGAAAAATATATTAAAAAAAAACTTTTCTAACCGCCATTTTTAAATGTTTAAAGACTTTACTTTCATATTAAAAGGTGTTAAGTGCACGAAATGTTAAAGTAATTTCACAGTAGCGTTAAGACATTTTTATGGGTTTTTCTTTATTTATATTATTATTAATAAATAAGAAATTTCACAATGTGAATAAAGTGCACGAACGATTTATGTAAAAATATACTCTATGGGATTTGTAATTTATCAGCTTGTAAATATATATTTTTTCTTTTTATTTATCAGCTAAATATGAATGTATTTTTTGTGATATTTTTTTTTTGCTTTGGATTCCATTTTGTGTATATATTATATATACATATATATATAATAGAATTAGATTTATTTTCATCGTTTTGCTTTCTTTGTGAAACCGTTGGTCACGCCATGGGATACGATTTATAACTATTAATGTGTAAGCCTATTATTATATTTTGATTACTGAAATATATTTGAAAATCAATGCTGTGTTTCATTTATTTATTCACTTAGGTCCAGTCTATTTAAACCTCATACATTTCAGGTATAATTTACTACATAAACTATATATTTATTAATTTCATAAAGTTAGTTATATTACAATAAGTTGCGTTTATCATACAAAAACTATGTAACTATCGCACAATGTAATATGGAGCTACACAGTGTACTAATGCTTAATATTTGTATAACTTTACGAGTGCTCGAATCTATTGCACGCAAACACGGAATAGCTAGGAATGTTTAAAGCAACATTTTAGTCTTGAACATATATATATAAAATAAATAGCACACTGTGACTGTCTTATTTGGACTGCAGTATACCCGCGAAAGACAAATCTATCCATTAATTAATAAAATAAATAAAACATCTCATATATATTTTTATTTTATTATTTTTCAATATTAACCAGTAAGTTCCTTAAGCAGTTATAGTATAGCATAGCATAGGTACTTAGTTTAATAGGTCATTTACAGCTCCGTTGAGACTTTGGTCTCGCGAACAAATAAAAAAGCCAAATATTAACTTTTTTTAAATACAGTGTAACTACTGCGTACAACCCGGCGTACTGCTCGCAAAGACCAAAGGAAGATATTTATGATATATTACATACGAACACATATCAAGGAAATCGTAATTAGTTCATTTACATATTATAAAATATAATTTAGCATATACAAATAATATTTTTGTATTTTATAATATATAAACATTAGACATCGAAACTTTGAATCTGCTTAACAAATTATGGAGTACAAAATTACTTTTTTATTCATTTGTAAATGTAAAATATATGTTTTTTTTTCATTCATTTATAATACCATTACGAAGGCATTTACACAAATTATATATGTATTAAACCGTCACATTTATTTATTAATACTAGAATTTACAGATTGAACGAATCAAGCGTATATCATTGAATCATTCGGTCAATTACATATTTCATTCGCACGATGTATTGCGTAATATAATATATTCGTGTACTTTGTTATTATATACCGAAAATATATGAAATTATTGTTCCTATGTGATATGTGATGACTC